TGAGTCGAGCCTGGCCGAGTGGAGCCTGGCTGAGTGGAGCCGCCCGAGTTGAGCCTGCCGAGTTGGACCTGGTCGAGTTGCGCTGCTACCCTTTGTGGGCACGATCCGCGTGATGTCGCAGGCCCAGAGGTTGACACCAACACCAAGATCGGCGGTGTGCCTCCACCGAGGGAAGACGATCCCGATCTCGGTGATGTTGGTAATATTCAACTTCCAAGGTGACCGAAGTATGACCACCAACACCGAACTCTAGGATCATCTTCCCCATGTGGAGGCACCCCCCTCTGCTGGTGTTGGTGCCAATTTCCAGGCCTCCAATGATGGGGTTTACCACACTGGGCGGCGGGGGCACAATGCGAACCCTGCCTCTGGGGCCGTTGGTGGTAATCCCCGTGAGCTACGATCCGTGTGAGAGGTGTCCGAAATAGGCGGGGGGGCGGGATGCGAACCTTGTCTCTGGGGCCGTCCGTGGAACTCCTTGCGGGCCTCGATCCTTGTGAGTTGTATGTCGAAGTGAGCGGGACGACGCTGTGAAGCTTCTGTCTGGTGCCGCAATTGCATTCATTTTCGGGGCACGATCCCCGTGCGGGTGTGCCATTACGCGAACCTTGTCTCCGGGGACGTAGGTGGAGCTCCCTGTGCGATCCCTGAGGGGTGTGCCGACACGTGCGGGGAGACTCTAAGCCAAGCGTGTCTCTGGGGCCGTCGATGGAGCTCCCTTAGAGGCACGATCCGTGTGTCATTAGATGTCACGCTGATAGGTGCCGCCCGACTGGCGTGACACTGATATTGTGGTTGCCTTCCCATAGGAAGAGTGCCTCCTTGCCCCGCCACAGTAGTTGCGCGCTCCAGCGTCCAACCGTAGGATCAGACACGAGGCTCTGTAGAGCGGTCGGATAACCTTGCCGCGCTGACGACGGACCACGCGATGCCCTAGAAGAGCCAAAGCGCGTCTGCAGACATCCCCCAGTACGCAAAGCAAAGAGCCGACCTCGCGTACCAGACTGTGTTTGGCCTTTGGATGTCACATGCAGTATGGCTATATTGTGCCTTGTGGAAATAGCCTAGCCAGGGGTGGTCGGAAGGGTTGGCGGGGAGGCTTCTGGTTAGCCGTTGTCGGCAAGAGGGTTGGCCAGGGTTGGCAAGAGGGTTGGCCAGGATAATTTCTTCATACGTCGGTCTTCCAATTTGCATTTTTTGTGTGTTTGATACGAGTGTGTGCTATTCCCCAAACAGTGTTTTCACTTAGGGGTTCTTGTTGCACTTCTACGGAATTGGGCCCGTCAGCAGTCCGTCGCCGCCGCCCCTTTCCGTTGCACCCCCCCTGCACCTCCCCGTTCGCTTTGCAAGCTTTGTTTTGCATTGCTTTACATTGCTTTGTGTTGCCTTGCATTGCGTTGAATTGCTTTGCATTGTAATGCATTGCATTGCTTTGCTTTGCACCACGTGGCTTGCGCCACGCGGTTTGCATCACCTAGGTTACATCACATTGATTGCACCATCTAGCTTGCACCGTATACATTGCAAAACATCACCGTTTGGGGTCCACGCTCGCTAACATCCTTACGTGACATGATGTATTTTCACACACGCCCACGTCGTCCTGCAGTTGCGCGAAAGAGTGTGGAGGCGAGCGCGGGGTCGGTCGCCTGCAAGTCGCGGGTAGGTCGCGAGTGGGTTGCGGTTTGGGTCTGCGAACGCCTTCACATTGCTCGCCTTCACCACGAGGCGCCTCACAGACAGCAGAGGGAGGAGAAGGAGGAGACGAGGAGGAGGAGGAGGAGGAGGAGGAGGAGGAGAAGAAGAAGAAGGAGGTGGAGGAGGAAGAGGATGAGGAGGAGGAGAGAGGAGGAGGAGGAGGAGGAAGAGGCGGCGGAGGAGGAGGAGCAGAGGAGGAGGAGGAAGAGGAGGAGGAGGAGGAGGAAGAGGAGGAAGAGAGAGAGGAGGCGGGAGGGAGGGGGGGGGAGGGAGGAGGAGAGGAGGAGAGGAGGAGGAGGGGCACGACCCACACCACCAGGAGCGCACCGCATGAACTGCGCCAGCACGAGCATCACCAGCACGAGCGCACCCCCGGATGCGCCAGCCCGTAGGACAAGGCCGAGAGCAGCACCCCTGCGGGTGCGTCGCCTCCTCCCCGCCGTCTGCTGCCGATCCTCCCCCCTCCACCCCCGCAGCGGTGTCCGAGGTCCCTCTCCCCCTCTCCTCGGTGCTCGACCTTCCAGGACTCCCTCCTCGGCCCCAGCGCCCTCGTGTCCTCCTTCGCCCCCGCCCCGGAAAGGCGGAAGCACGGATCGACGGCGGCGATGGCGACGACAGCGACGACGGCGACGGCGGCGGACGGGATGCCCCCTCTCGCTGCTGCCCGCGCGTGCCCCCCCCCCCTGGCGTTGAGTCGGGCCTGTCCTCTTCAGGGGGAAAATTCAAAAATAGTAAAAAAATCGTCAGGCAACGATTTTTTTTTAACCATTCTCAAATCTTTTTGGCGTATTTTTTGACTATTTCTTAATTTTCGTCCAAAATCCGCGTGTAGGGGGACATGCCCGACTTAACCCCTGGCAGCGCGCCCAGCGCCGAGGTCCGCGCCGTGGGGTCCATCGACGCGCTGGGGCACTGGCAGCCGGAGAGGGGCGCCGAGCTGCAGAGAGATCGGGCGCGCCGGCGCTCGCGGCCGCCGCTGCTCCGCCGCTACTCGCCGTCGCCGCAGGCGTCGTCGTCGTCGCCGCCGCCGTGGCCGCAGTCGTCGTCGCCGCCGTCGTCGTCGTCAGCGTCGCCGTCGTCAACGTCGCCGTCGCTGTCATCGTCGACGTCCGTCGATGTCGCCTCCGTTGGCGTCGGCGTCGTCGAGGACGGTGGGAGGGAGTAGTGAGGATGATGAAGAGGTGGAGCAGAAGGAGGGCGAGGAGAGCTAGGCGGAGGATGAGCAGGAACAGCAGGAATATGCGAAGGAGGATGAGGAAACGGATAGGGTCGATGATCAGCAGGGTGAAAAGATGAGAAGTAAATGGTTGACTGGGGAGGCGGGATAATGCCGATGATCATGAGGCGGGGGATGTCGATGAGGCGGAGGAAGGAGGACTGAGGAGGAGAGGAGGCGGAGGAACCGGAAGAGAGGGAGGAGGTGGAGGAGGAGGAGACAGAGGCAACGGAGGGGAGGGAGGACGAGGAAGGAGGATGAGCAGAAGGGGGGAGGGCGAGAGAGGAAGTTGCCTCGGGTCTGCCCCGCACGGGGTCCTCGTCGAGGCCCTGCTGCCGCCTGCTGTCGCCTCTGCTTCCCCATCTTTCGCCACCATCGTTGCCGTCACCATCATCGTCATCTTGACCTATACCCACTCTTGCCCCAGTCGTCTTGGCGCAAGTCCGTTGGCAGTCTGGATCACGTGAGCAAAGGCCAAGTCAGCCGAGCTGACTCGGCTTCATCGCGGCATGGTCTGTCCGGAGTGGTTTGCTTCGCATCCTGCTGTAATCGGGGGTGGACAGAACCCCCAAACGTGACACGTCGATTAGTGAATTGTCCGTTTTCGGTTCTCGAGAGGGCGCCGCGGCCGTTATTTTCCAGGCTTGCGCCCGCCAGGTTTGGGCCTCGGGTCGTTTTCACTAAACCACGTTGTACTAAAGGGAGGTCTGTCCGTCCCCGATGTAAATGTTTCGTGGCGAACTCCGCCAACTTCGCTCACAAGGTGCTGACTTGAACTAACTGCCGAGGATGGTGTCTGTCCAGCTCTCGTTTTGCCGTTGGGCGTCGGGCACAAACAGCTTGATGTGATGGGCCAATTTCCCGCCAGCACTACCATAGGTTGGACGCGGAGAAGGGAGAGAGGGGAGGTCCTCCTCCTCCTCCTCCTTTTCCTATCCTCCTCCTCCTCCTCCTCCTCCTCCTCCTCCTCCTACCTATGGTAGTGGTGGTGGGAAGTCTGCGCATCGTGATGGAAGCGTGCTGAGGACGGGCGGCTTCGCGGCCCTCGAGCTCACGCGACTCGTGGACGCAGACTTCCTTACCTGCGCCCTCGGTGTCCCCTGGTGCGCGTGGCTCTCTGCCGACTCCCCGGTGTGGCGGTGTGCCCTCTCTTCCCGGTGTCCGTTGTGCCGCGCTCCCAACAGTCGCGGCTCTGCATCGCGGCAGCCCGGCAGTCCGAGGACCCGTGTGTGTCACGAGCAGGCGCCGTGCGAGCGTGGGCGTGCGTCAGGAGGGAAAAAAAACACAGACACAATTAATCGTCGATTCCCCAGAAAATATGGGAAAATATGGGAAGTGGGGGGGAAGACAGAAACCCAGAAAATATAGGACAATATGGGGGATGATTTTATTTGTGTGTATTTATTTGTGTGTCCTGGGGCCCCTTCAGTGCGGTGCTCCAGACTCTGGACTGCCTGGTGAGTCGGCACAAGTTTTTTCCGAAGGAGGGCGGTCATCGATGCAGGATCTGGTGCCCCATCCGCGGTTGGGCTTATGATGTTCCAACCTACCCTAGCCTCGATGAACCGAAAGAACTTCGAGCACCCCACAAACCCTGAAGAACTTCGAGTACCAAATATGTACAGTTAAACTCGAGGGTTTTCACGCGTCGGGCCCTGGGAGACACTCGTCCGACACTGTTTTGACACTGTTTCGACGCTTTTCCGGGTGCTCAAAATTATTTCTGGGATGTGGTCCGTTAGTAGGCTGGGAGCAGCAGAAGGTTTGGGCATGTTCTCTCTGGCACGGGCCTGGCATACCTCGGAGCACTCGAGAGCTGCGAGGACCCTCGGTTGCATGAGGCTGGCGACCGAGGAGAATGGTCTGAGGTGCCGTGGCCGCCTGGGGCTCTGGCCATCCCCCCTCTGCGAGGGTCTGGGCCTCCTCGGTGGAGTCGGACTAGATGGGGTCGGAGGATCGCACCGCGCCGCCGATGCATCGGCGCTGCGGCTCAACGTGAAGCCCGAGCTTCTCCACGCCGACGCCGCCGGTGCATCACGGACGTTGCAAGTGCCTCGCCGATGCATCGCCGGCACATCGCCGAGGCATCGGCGATGCGGCGCGAGCCTCCGACCACATCTGCTTCGACCCTGTGTAGGAGGCCTCCAGAGGGGCTGCCTCGCCGTCTGCGGAGGGCACTGGCCGAGGCGGACAGTTGGGGGAGTCGCACGGGACCTCTGCAGGAAATGGCACGCCCGTCGTTGAACGTATGGGTTTCTGGATTCCCAGATCCCGATCTGTTACTAGCGCTTTCCTGCTTCGAGAACCGATCTGCTTTTGCCGTGTTTCGTTGTTCTCTGGGGGGGCCTGAACCCAACCTACTTTCTCCGCCTTTCTGCTTCATGTTTTTTTACTTATCTTTTCCGAACAACGTGTAGTTCTGGAGATTCCGCTTCGTGTGAGGATGGAGCGAGCCTTGTGAGGGCAGGGGCCAGAGTGCAGCATGACTTCCTGTGCTCTGTGTACGGAGTTTTCTGGGGGTGGTTCTACTTAGTTTTCTTTTGATGGGCACCATCGCCAAGGTCAATAATGACGTCAGTCCGCCCCTGCATTCCTTGTGGTTCAGGTGGGCTTGGTGGAAAGGTCTCAGCCATTCACCGTGCTTCCCAGGTGCAGCTCGCGAATGCATTCACTTCCCTTCGATGATTGCGCTGTGGTCTTGGAGCTCGCTCTCTCGACCTCGTTAAGGAGGGCAATCCAGGCTCAAACCCTTTCTTATCCGTGATTGCCCGGGGCTGTTGTGTTGGACTACTTCACTGGTGTCAGTGGCATCGCCATAGAACAAACCACCCGGACACCACCACCCTTCATTGCTACGAACCTCCCACTTCTGCCAGCTTGCGCGTCGCCTCGGCAGCGGCCCTTGCATTCGTCTGCAGGAAACAGAGCTCCCTCTCCACCGAGCGCGCAGGAACGGGCGCGATCCCGCGACTGGGCAAGGGAAGGAGGATGGAGGAAGGAGACGGGAGACTGAAGCGTGAGGAGGGAGGGTAATAGTGAGGGGCGGACGCGGGAGGATGGATGTGGTGGTGGGGACGGTGGTTTGAGCGTGAAGCCATGAAGACATGAAGCGGTGGCACGCAGGAGGGGAGGATGGATGAGCGAGTATAGGAGAGGAGGAGGACGGGGGAGAGGATGGATGGTGAGGACGAGGGGGGAGGAGAAGGAGAGGGAGGGAGGAGGACAGGGGGGGAGGAGGGAGGGAGGACGAGGGGGGAGGAGAGGGAGAGGGGAGAGGAGAAAGAGAGGAGACGGGGAGGAGGGAGAGTGGAGAGGGGAGGGAGCACGAGGGGGAGGAGGGAGGACGAGGGCGGAGGCAGGGAGGGAAGGAGGGAGGACAGGGGGGGAGGACGAGGGGGATGGAGCCCCCTCCCTGGCGCGGGGCCTCGGCCTCCGTCGCTCGAAGCCGCCGGCGGGCCAGACGAGATGGCCGACGTCTAGACCCGCCGGGGGCGGGGCGGGAGCGCCGCCCCCGGCCTGCCCCCCCTCCCCGAAGGCCGCCCCGACCCCCCCTCCTCCTCCTCCTCCTCTCCTCCTCCTCCTCCTCCTCCCCTCCTCCTCCTCCTCCCCTCCTCCTCGTCCTCCTCCTCCACCCCCCTCCCCTTCCCCTTCCCCCTCGGGGGCGGGCCCTCCCCGGCCCCCCCCCCTGGCACCGCTCGGACGTGTGCACTTTTCTTCCGGCGAGGACCCTCGAGGAGCATTCTTGAGCATCTGGCGAACGCGATGTGACAGTAGAGTCTTGCGCGCTTGTGCTTGGTCCCCCTGGCGTTCCCCATAAAGCCGCGCACCAAAGGTCACTCTTACCCAGGTCACTCTTGCGTGTAGTCGACCCAGGACCGTTGAACAACGACTCTTGGCATCGCTCGGATGTGTGCATTTTTTCTCGGCGAGAACCATCGGGGACCATCCTGGACCATCGAGCAAAAAAAGCACGCACGAAACCGAACAAAAACACAGGGAATGGACGTCCGAGCGATGGCCAGGCGCCCGAGGGCCGCCCCGAGGCTCTAGAGGAGAAGACGGTGCCCACAGCTCTAGGCCTGCTAGATGGGGTCGGAGTAGATGGGGTCGGAGGATCGCGCCGCATCGCCGATGCATCGGCGATGCGGCTCGATGCGGAGCCCGATTTGCTTCATGTCGACGTCGCGGATGCATCGCCGACGTCGCCAGTGCATGGCCGATGCGGCGAGATCTTCCGACCCCATCTGCCCGGACCCCATCTAGGAGGCCTCTAAGAACGCGCCCCGGGAGAGGTCCAGGGAGTAGTGGTATCGGTGCCTTTTGGTTTCTCCAGTCGGGCGGGTGGCAGTGGGGGGTGACCCAAATGGGGGACCATAAAGGAGCCCTTCAGGGCTCTTTTTTGATCCAGGTGGTACCCAGAATGGGCCCTCAAGGGCCCATTTAGGGTATTTTTCTTCACCCCCCGCTCGCAAAGTGCCCATTTTCGGGACGATCGAAATGTGTACGGACAGAATGGGTATGACGCCCAACAGCAGTTCCTGTTCATTTTGAGCAGGACTCGCTGTCCGCGCCGCCGCGGGCGTTGTTCATTGAAGACAAAAGCCGCCTGCCCGACAGAGGCCGCCGTCGGCTTTGGACAACATTTGTTGTTGGGCATTATGTCTATTTTTCCGTACCCTTTTCGGGCCTCCAAATGCTTTCACGCGTCCGAGAAGCACATGCCTGCCTCCGATGTAGTGGGTTATAGATCCCTCGCGGATGAGCCGGGCCATTTGCGGACCGTTGCTTTTGCGAGTGGTGGAGCGCGCTCGTCAATGGCCGACATCTGGACTCGCTTAACTGGGCGCGTTCCACTACTCGCCAAGTGCCCACTTGCAAACGCGCGAGAAATACATGCCTGCCTCCAAGGTAATGGATCATAGATCCCTCGCGGTGGAGCCAGGCCATTTGCGCGTATCAGGAGTGAAACAACACAGACACAATTAATCGTCGATTCCCAGGAAAATATGCAAAACTGCGGGAAGTGGGGGGGAATACAGAAGCCCAGAACATCTATGGAAAAACATGGGGCATCCTGGGATCTGTCCTTATTGATTTGTGTGGGCAGCGCTTGCATATCGCTGGGAGCTGGAGCCCCGCCCCGAGGGCCCCCGATCGAGGGCCGCCCTGGGGCTTCCCAGGGCCCCCTGATCTCGGGCGACGAGATCTGTGCGAGGAACCTCGAGAATGGATGAAAGCGCGTGGATCAGCGACGGGATTTATGTTGCCCCCATCGTACGTAGGGACCACACCCCAGAAATTATTTTCGAGCACCCAGCAGAGTGTCGAACAAGTGTCGAAACAGTGTCGAACGAGTGTCTCCCAGGGTCCGACACGCGAAAACCCCTGAGTTTCGGCTCTTTTCCTGGTGCTCGAAATTCTTCCTGGTGGTCAAGGCTAAATCAGGTCGGAGCAGCATAACACGGGCTTCGCTTCCTCACATAATCGGCGATGCTCCGCCGCCACAGCGGGCGGCGCCTCATTCTTCGGGGGTGCCCCTCTCCGACTCCATGGACTGGTGTGTTAAGTCGGACCTGTCCCTCTGCAGGGGGAATATCCAAACATAGTCCAAAAATAGTCAGGGGACTTTTGCCATTTTGGAGTATTTTTTGCGTATTTTTGCATGTTTCTTCGAAAATCCCCCTGTAGGGGGACACGCCCGATTTAAGACTGGTGCCAGCGCGTCAGATCCACGGATCGCTGATCCGCGCTGGCGTGTGCCCGATGATCCACGCTGGCGTAGCCCCCGCCCATGGACGGGCCCATCCCGGGCCCAGGAGCGGTGGCCGTGCCTCCCCGGCGGCGTAGTACGCACACTACACACACTTCCTCCTCCTCCTCCTCCTCCTCCTCCTCCTCCTCCTCCTCCTCTCCCCTCCTCCTCCCCTCCCCTCCTCCTCCTCCTCCTCCTCCTTCTCCTCGTCGTCCTCCTCCTCCTTCCTCCTCCTCCTCCTCCTCCTCCTCCTCCTCCCCTTCCTGGGCCCAGATGGGGCGGCGGCTGCGCCCAGGTCGCGTCGTCGCCCGCGATCGGCCCGCCGGGCGCCGCGCGCGCGGGCGCCCGGCCAGGCTTCGGCGCCCCCCCGCTGGTCGGCCACCCTGAGGACGCCCGGCCCCCGCCGCCGGCCTCCGGCAGGCCCCGCTCGGCGGCTCCTGGCCTCGGCGAGGGCCGCCGTGCAGCGGACGGGTCCCGTCGGGCGGGGCTTAGGAGAAGAAGAAGAAGAAACATAAGAAGGACAATAATAATATTAATAATAATAATACTAATGATACGACGACTACTACTACTACTACTACTACTACTACTACTACTACTACTACTACTACTACTACTACTACTACTACTACTACTACTACTACTTACTACTAACTACTTACTACTTACTACTTACTACTTACTACTTACTACTTACTACTTACTACTACTACCACTACTACTACAACTATGGGGTGGTTTTTTTTTTTACTACTACTACTACTACTACTACTACTACTACTACTACTACTACTACTACTAATGGTAATAATAATACTAATAATAAATAAGCAGAATAATACGAATAATACTAATAATAATAATAATAATAAGAAGAAGGATACTAAGAATGTGAAGAAGAATAATAACAATAATAATAAACAAGCACACGAACATTAACTTTTGGCGCTCCGCGCGGATTTCTTGGATCCGCGCTTGGGCCCCCCCCCCCGCGGCGCCTCCGGCGCCACCCCTGGCGCGCTCCGCGCGCCAGGGAGAGGGGTCCAGCGCAGACCGACGGAATCCGTTTGGAGAGCCACAAATTTATGTTTATGCTGTTTTTGTTTTTTTGTTCAAGTGAAGCGGACGTGTCCTGTCGGGCGGGGCTGGGACAAGGGTCCATTCTCGGAGCTCCGCGTATCCCCGCCAGCGAGTGCGCTCGCTGGATAATTAGGTTCCGCCCGTTGCCCGGGTCGACCCTTGACGCCGCCTGCGCCTTCGCTTGCGGCCGCGACCAAAAATTCCCGCCAGCCCATCCAGAAGAGGACGCCGTGGAAAGTTTATACCCTTACGGTGGCACGTCAAGGCATACACTTTCCAGCCGCCCTGGGACAGGCGCCCCCGGCGACGGAAAAGTTTATCGCATACCGTCCTTCGCCCGCCAAGGGACTTCCGCTTGATCCTGATCAGATTTTTTCCTCGTGTCGGCCTCGTCTTATCCTGAGGAAAGCGGGCCCTGCGTTTGTCCCTGTTCGCCGTTGGCGCGCTAGAGGGGCCCTCCCCAGGCCGCAAGGCCATCAGGTTCCCGCGCAGGGGTGAGAGGATTTGTCGCGGGGGACGGTTTCGGTGTTCAGGGCCCGTTTCCCTTGGGACCCGCCGTTTCCTTCATGTCGGGTGGAGGAGGAGGACGAGGAAGAGGAGGGGGAGGAGGAGGAGGAGGAGGAGGCGTAGGACGAGGAGGAAAAGAAGCAAAGGGGATGATGATGAGGAGGAGGGGAAGGCGTAGGACGAAGAGGAAAAAAGCAAAGCGCTGAAGGAGGAGGAGGAGGAATGAGGAGGAGGGAGATGAGGAATAAGAGGGGGCGGATGAACAGGACGGTGGCGAAAGATGTTGTTGTTGTTGTTGTTGTTGTTGCTATTGCTATTGCTGTTGTTGTTGTTGTTGTTGTTGTTGTTGTTGTTGTGGTTGTTGTTGTTGTGGTGGTTGTTGTTGATATCGTTGGTGTGCTGGTGATGCTGCTGATGATGATGATGATGGTGCTGCTGATACTGATAATGAAGCTGCCGGTAATTAGTGATGACGATGACGACGGCGATGATGATGATGATGATGATGATGATGCTGATGCTAATGATGATGCGGATGGTGCTGACGATGAGGCTGATGATGCTGCTGCAGGTGATGATGATGGTGATGATCCAGCTGATGAGGTATATGACGGTGGTGGTGGTGGAGGTGGTGGCGGTGTTTATGGTTCGTGTGGTGGTGGTGAGGGCGGTGAGTATGATGATGGTGGGGATCATGCTGCTGATGACAATAAGGCTGACGATGATGATGATGATGATGATGATGATGATGATGATGATGATGATGATGATGATGATGCTGATGATGATGATGATGATGATGATGATGCTGATGCTGACGAAGCTGATGATGGTGCTGATGGTGATGCTGATGCTGATGATGCTGATGATGATGAGGATGGAGATGATGATGATACTGATCATGCCGCTGATAATAATGCTGATGATGATGCTGATTCTGACGATGACGATGATGATGCTGATAATTGCGATGCTGGCTATGATGGTGTTGATGTTGATGCTGATGCTGACGATGATGCTGTTGATGAGGGTGGTGGTGGTGGTTTTCATGTGATGATAGTGGTGATGATGGCGTTGACGACCATGCCGAGAATGGCACTGACAATGACGATTGTGATATTGCTGTTGGTACTGATGCTGCTGATGATGAGGACGATTGCGACGACGACGGCGATGATGTTGATGCTGATGCTGCTGATGATGATGATGACGATGCTGGTGATGGTGTTGGTGATGCTGTGGATGCCGACGGTGATGATGATGACGACGATGTTGATGGTGTTGGCCAGGTGAGGCTGATGCTTATGAGGCTGACGAGGCGGATGATGATGCTGGTGATGAGGATGACTGCACAGACGATAATGGAGATGATGATGCTGATGATGATGCTGATGTTGTTGATGCAGATGATGATCATGATGGTTATGATGATGATGAGGATGAGGATGATGACACTTGAGAATGACGTCAACGACGACGATGATGATGCTGATGGTGATGATGATGATGATGATGATGATGATGATGATGGTGTTGGTGATGCTGATGGTGCTGATGATCACGATAAGGATGATGATGTTTATACTGCTGCTGTTAATGATGATGATGAGGATAATTATGATGATGATGCTGATGATGCTGATGATGATGATGATGTTGATGTTGATACTGTTGATGCTGATGATGGTGGTAACAATAAGGGTGGTGATGATGACGCTGATGATGATGATGATGCTGATGCTGCTGATGATGACGATGATGCTCATGCTGATGATGCTGATGCTGATGCTGATGATGATTATGATGATGATGATGATGATGATTATGATGATGATGATGATGCTGCTGATGATGATGATCATGATGCTGATGATGATGTTGATGATGATGATTATGATGATGATGATGATGCTGCTGATGATGATGATGATAATGCAGATGATGATGATGATGATGATGATGATGATGATGATGATGATGATGATGATGATGATGATGATGATGATGATGATGATTTATGAGGAGGAGAGGAGGGATGATATGATGATGATGATATGATGGATGATATGATGATGATGATGATGATGATGATGATGCTGATGCTGATGCTGATGCTGATGCTGATGCTGATGCTGATGCTGATGCTGATGCTGATTCTGATGCTGCTGATGATGCTGATGCTGATGCTGATGCTGATGCTGAGCTTGATTAGGAAACGGAGGAGAAGAAGGAGGAGGAGGCGGGGCAGCGGGGCGAAACGAGAAGGGGTGGGAAACGAGGGTGCAGGGCGAGGAGGAGAAGGACAATTGCGCAGATGGCGGCCGAGAGCAAACCCTGCCTGTATCGCTGATGTTGAACCTACTTTTCCGTCCCAGGTACCCTCCCCATTCGTCAGCACGGGCGCGCTTTTTCACAGAGCGAGCCGCCCTGTGCAACACGAGCGCCTCATGGGCACGCAATGGATGCTCGAGCTCCGTTGCGGACACACCGTCCTCCATTCCTCGAGCCCGGCGGGATGTGATACGGTAGAGGGGAACAATTACTGAGTTTCCCCCTCCCACCCAAATTCAATATTGGCACGCGCGGGGGAGACTGCGGTCGAAGTGCATCTCATCAGACCCACCGCCAACTTTGGAACATTGGGGGGGGGAGGCGTTGACGGATGAATGTGGCATGAGTGTTCGCTAATTTGTTCCGAGGCCTGTGTTGCGTGGTCTCAAGCATGCAGGACATGCCAAGCGACGGCGCCGCCGTGGAACGGGCCCGGCCTGCGCCCGTGCACCCGGTGCACCACGTCTGGGTTTTCGGGTCCAGGCAGTCCAACGAGTGCGGGTGTCCCAGTGTGAAGCGGGGCCGCCCTCTGTCCACGTAGCACTCGCACAGTTCGATTGCGTTTGCCGCGGGGACGCGTCCCGTGGCGTGCTCAGGAGGATAAATAGTAGGAGGGATGGGGGGATCAGGAAACGGATTGGAGGAGGAAGAGGGGGATGAGAGGTGAGGGATGGGGGACGAGGGGGGGGGGGAGGAGCAGGATGAAGAGGATGAGTAGGGGAGGATATTGAGTAGGGTGGGGTGGGGTGGGGGCAGGATCAGAGAGGGGGTCGAGAACGAGGATTCAGCGATGTGTTAGATGTTTATGATTCGCTTTCTTGCGTTGCCCCCCCCCTCTCTTCTGCCCCTGGCCTCTCCGTATCACACTCGCCGCCTCCTCGATTCTTGTATGTCTTTGTTCCTCCGTGCTTATCCTTAGCTCTACCCGCTCCCCCCCCCCCCTTTCCGTCTCGACGCCCGTGCTCCTGCGAGGTCTCGCTCGCTTTCGCCTCTCTGCCCAGGATTCCTGGGGGACTGGACGCCTGGAACGATGTCGAGTACAAGTTTGTCAAGGCGCCTGCTGCTGCTTCCTGCCACGCACCGCGAATCCTGCCACATTGTGCTTCGTTGTTTCCTCTTTGCTTCGGCGCGGCCCGCCTCAGCTTGCACGGCGTTCGACTCGTCTTCGTGCGCCCGCGTGCCAAAAAAATCGTGCCATCGATCCCGCCAACCACTTCTTCCGACTCGGGGCTGATGATGATGTTGTCATGGATGGTAGACCTGCTGATTTTTGTTGTGGATGAGACTGTTGAACGTGTTGGTGGCGACGGTGATGAAGTTAATGATGACGATGATGATGTCGACGGTGGCGATGCTAAATATGCCGACGCTTGTAGTGATGGTGGTGGTGATGGTGACACCGTGTATATTGATTTTGATGATTGTGATGGTAACGAAGACGATGGCGATGACGACGGTGATGGTGGTGATGATGCGGATGTCGATGGTGATGATCATACTGTTGGTGGCCATGTATATGGTGATATTAATGATAACGTTGATGACGGTTCTGATGATGATGGTGATGATGGTGATATTGCTGATGATGCTGATGCTAATGCTGCTGATGCGGATTATGATTACGATGCTAACGGTGATGATGGTGATGCTGATCGTGGTGACGGTGCTGTAGTTGTTGCTCACGACGGTGCTGGTGATTATAGGGAAGACGTTTGCGATGGCATTGGGCATGACGGCGATGCTGATTACGATTGCGAACTCGATGACGACGGCGACGACTGTGAGTGTAGCCGGGATGGCTTATGATGGTGGTGGTGGTTATGAATGTGATGGTGGTGATGGTGATGGCAATTGTTGTGATGACGACGGTGACAATGAAAACAAGGATGGTGGTGGTGGTGGTGGTGGTAGTGATGATGCGGACGATGACGATGATGACCATGACCATGCTCATGATGATGGTGCTGACGCTCAGGGTGTTTTTGCTTCATCAGCAGGCGGGCCATGACACGTCAAGACCTGTGACTCTATACTGTACCCACAACTGGGCCGATGGGGGGTTACGGATCGATGGAACTGGAGCCCGCCTCCAGGACAACACCTAGGCCGTTACCCATGCTTTCGTGCGGGCACGAGGCTCATTGTAGCGCTGAAAGCTGAGCGGCTGGGCGTGCCCCACGACGACGCCTCATCGGACCAAACAGTTTGCTGTTTGGTTATCGGCATCTTTTCGGCCCTCAAGAAA